ACCTGATAAGCCAGTGCTTATGCCATAAAAAAAAGCGTACGTTACGTAGGCCACGGTAATCGCTTACCATCAGGTGGGAAGTGAGCTATTTTACCACCATCGTGGTAAAAAAAATCGAATGCGAACATTTTTTCCCATAATATCAAACCATGAATCTTCAAAGTCACAGCGAGCATTGCCGTGCAATAAAGAACTTCTGTCACATTTCAAATTGAATTAAACCATTTTCGTAATAGTCTACAAACAACGCGTGGGTTTCCAATAGCATTACCTACCTATTCGTAGCTAGCTTGCCGTCTGCGGTTTCAGTTGTGTGGAATTTAAATATATTTATTCTTTAAAATGAGTTCCGTTTTTATAGGAATAGGTACCGGGGTAAAAATTAGTAAAATGTTTTTCAAATAGGTGTAGTAAATTCAGAGGTTATTTTAATATAAACAATCAAATCTTTGCCCGCGGCTTCGCTTGTGTGATTGTGTGCTTTAGGAAAAAGTAATCTATAAAATTCTCCAGTTACCTAAGGGTGCGTCCTTATCTGGCGAATGTGCCGCAAATGTGCAGCGTGCCGTTTGCGAAATGCGCGCGTATATTCACGGCAATGGTTTGGCGCGCCTCCTTAATGCGACTCATGTCAGGCTCGTATAGGTAAGTAATAATCTTAAATCATTAAATGCACGCGCGCAGCTTACAAACGGGTCGTGAGCGGCGAGCTGTACATTCGCCAAACGTGGCCGCATCCTAACACCTGCAGTGCTATTCTCTAAGGATACAGCGTTGCCTGCAGCGTTGCCACAGCGACGAAATTATCGTTTGGTATTCACTAAGCTGACATACGGTACACTAGCGCTCAAGGCTGTGACGGCCGTGAATTGGAACTATTTAAAGGCGAGCAAATTGACAATTCTACATACATTTTGGTATTCTCGAACAAAAAACAGCGTCGACGTGGCTTACAGCCTAGCCTACAGCCTTGCTATTATCTGTCAAATCTAAAAGCTACAATATTTGCGCGTATTGCCTTTATTTAGTTACAAAATATTCAAAACTCTTCGTTTATTTGAACGCATTACTACCTACCGTATTTATTATACCTAAGTACTTTCATGTCTGTTCTGTCGAACCCAGAATTATTTAGCAAAACTTCTTATTATGTTCTAAGCTAGGAAGCTTAGCTTAGCGTAGGTAGCAGTAAAATAATATAGTCTCCGGTATGAAATCATTATTTATTTCTGTACATTGCACTTTTACTTCAATTAAGCTACTGGTGGAGCCGGTATTGCCAACTAACTACTCTGAGAAGAAATGCCGAAACAAACTCGGAGGTCTCAGTCAGTTTCTAAGTGCAAAACAAAGTACATCAAAGAAAATTCACTGTTACAATGGAACTCAATATCAAATTAACAGGTTACAAGCTAGGTACACAGTAGGAACGCGCGTCGGTTTCTGTCGACAGCATTGCGCGGCTGCTATGCTACACGGCAAGTGACGTGCACGCCGCTCAACTGATGATTCCTTGACTCCGTCGAGTTCCAAGGGGAGCGCCAGCATTCCAATGACACCCTCGATTGCGTCATTTATTATATAGATAACAAACTTTTGCCCATTGCTGCCGTGTTTTTATACAACATCTTCCATTGCAGTATAGCTTCACACTTCACAGCTATTTCTTGCCATGCCTCTTTCGTTCGTTGTCAGGCATGCGATGTCTGAGCGTGTCCTGTTGCAAGCCAAGATTTCCCTTCCAAACTCTCTAGGATGAAACTTAGATGAGTTATTAATAAATTTTAAGGTCTCAAATGTATTGATTCTAATTACAATAAATTCTAGAGTCAAGTATTATGACATTATTTAGACAGCGCGTCACTGCGCATGTTACAAAATGGGCAAAGACATCGTGATTCAACCCAAAGAGTAACTATAGGGAATTCAACCTCAAAATGTGTTTGTAAAAATGTGAAATATTTATTATATTTATTTAATTCACCAATATTTAGATACTTAGCGTAAAATCTCGTAAAGATAGACGTTTATATATTTATTATATATTTTATAAACCGATAAAACTCGCAGTCGGAGATGATCGATTATGATTTAAAGAACAATGTTGAAAGCCTTATTTCGTCGATGAAACAATGGCGACAGCTTACAGCCGTCAGTTCGCCGACGAGCTATAATGTGTTAGTGAATACAGTTTGAAACAGCGCTGAAGGCTCGGTCGATCTCTAGGCTGCCTCGTCGACGAATTCGACGCAGCGTACAGCATAGAAACTGTTTCTTAGAGAATAGCATAGCTGAACCACTATCTAAAATCCTAACTCCCACAAAAAAACGTCACAAACAAAAGCGACACAAACAAACACGCTTTCCCATTTATCCACTGTAAGGATTTGCAAAACAACCATAAAATCAGCCGTTTCTGATTCAATATTGACCAATAACTCGTTTGTTTATACTCCAAGTGATGCAATGTATGAATCGAAATTGACAATATCACACAGTAATGTACTGTCGACTACAAACAAAACAATAAACATTCCCTGTCATTAGTAGCGCCATCTAGTTATTGAAACTTGGAAAAATTGTAATTCTCGTCAATTAAAACAATAAATAACTGGTAGGTAATTTTTAATGCCAAATCATGTTATATAATAATTTTTTTAAGGGGAAAAATTATCGAATGGCAGCTCCCGCCTGGGTGAGGCGCGAGGGAGTGTCAGGCTCTTACTGATTAAAATCACCCCGTTCCTTCTCCTGCGCTTCTAGCCGGAGCCCCGGTAACCCGTTAGGTTCTCCGCAACTCCGAACCTACAAAATTATTATCTTCTGTAGCTATTTTATTCAATTTTATAACGTGTTTAACCCTCTTATATTTTTATAAGGTATTTTTATCTAAGTAGTTACTTATTTATTGCTTTTTACGTAACAATAAACATGTTGTATTTCCTTATCTATATTTTATATGTTTTAAACTTTTTTTTCTAGAAAATAGCAAATTTCAAAGCGCAGGCTATTCTGTTAAATGTGAATTTGAACTTTAGAAGTCAGCTCGATCACATTCTCGCCTGTCATTAGTCGAGATTATTCTCACATCAAATGACATGGCGGACTGCGATCGAACTCACATCGAGATGCTGAATTGACCTTAAATTGATCTTAAAAAATAGCCTAGCAGCAGTTAGATCGGCTGATGTTAATCATCATCATCATGATCATCAATATTATCATCAATGATCAGCCTATAGATGTCCAATGCTGAGCAAAGCCTCTTCTCATATGGAGAAGGTTTGAGCATTAATCACCACACTTATCACATAACTAGAAATTATAAGCCCCAGTTTCCTTCACCGTTTGTGAGTGGTGTCTAGATTTTCTTAGAAAGTACATAATATAATTATGAAAAAATCACATTCGTACTTGCCGTTGGTAGCTTTCGAACCCGCACTCGCATGCATAAGAAGCGGGTGTCTTAAACCTGCGGACCACCATGACTGATGATAATCGATCAGCGCAAATTGAACTCCTGTAACATTAGAGGAGATACAATTGCGTTGCCAGAGTTTGGGAGGAGGAGTTTAAAAGAAAGTAAGAAAGAAAAACATTTATTCGGCACATCACAAGCACAGAGTTGTAGACAGTATTTTCTAAGTGTGGAAGAGCCATGCTTCGGCACGAATGGGCCGGCTCGACCGATTTTCACGCTGGTTTTCTGTGAGGCCGTGTTATCATATCACTGAACCTTGTCGGGACGGCCCGTTCGGTCCAAAGCATAGCTCTTGCACATAAAATAATTATGGGCATTTTATTATTTACATCTGATACTACATTAGGTATTTTATTTTTGTATAACGACTAAACTATGTACTATTAACTAGGTAGTTGGTATGTACTAAAATTAAAATGTAACCATTTACGTAAGAACCTGTAATAAAATTATATTTATTTGCTTACTATCTTTTACCAGCGGCTTTGCCCACGTATTATCCCATGGGAGCATGTCATCGGGACAAAAAGTATCCTATCACCGAAGTTATACCCTGTCTGTATTCCAAATTTTATCAAAAACTACTGAACTGCAGTAGTTTCAGCGTGATTAATGGACACACATCCAAACAAGAAACTTTCACAAATGTAATATTAGTGTGATTCTATCTAAGTACTCGCGCGCATCACATCATCGCGATCTTTGACATAGGTAAATGAGCTGCTAAGTTCATAAGATAATACAAAAGTATTGTTATTGCCTTTGTTCGTACCGTACCGTAATGTTCATACCTAACATTGCGTGATTTCAACATTTACACTAATTAACTCGTCGAGTACCGGTTTTGTAGACACAATTATAAAACAATAGGTTGCGGTCACCGGTGACCGCTTAGTGTTTGACAGTTTAAGGAATTATACAAATAAGACTTGTACCTACGAAGGGTTATTACCGTCATCGGCTTTAATGAGTGAAATCTTGTGACCATAATTTTTAAACTGGATAGCTTTGTTTATTTGTAGTACTCAAATCTACTCATAAAAATCTTAAAAATTCACATCACCCTGTGGTGAAAGAAAGTATAAAAATCCATGCAGTTTAGCACAGATAAACTAACTAAAAGGCATACGCGGCCAAGGATCTTCTTCATAAAAGAACAGAATGTATAATTTCGGTAAAATTTTGTCGTCTCTTTTAGTCTTAAACTGTCAAACACCAAGCGGTCACCGGTGACCGCAACCTATTGTTCTATAATTGTGTCTATAATGATGGTACTCGACGAGTTAAATAGCTTCGTGGACATTTGATTTGAAGAGCGTCTTTATTTGTTTACATTCCTTTCAACTCTTTACGCTATTTTCCAACCAAATTACATTATTAGATAAGAAAACAATATCATTATAAAATAACTGATTGCAATTACTGATTAGCAGCAGAGTCATTATACTCCGGTGTTATTAAATCCAGCTTTGTTTTATCACTTTTGTGGCATGATGAAACAGCTTATCGTTACAACCGACAAATCAAACCAGTTTCACTCCGCTCACAGCCGCGGAGAGTATACAGTGTAGCTCATTTATGCTTAAAACTCAATCGTGTACAACAAATTGTGATTAAAAATTAAATACGTAAAACAAAGCATAAAGTGCATCGTAAAACACAAAAAGATGGCGGCGGGATTTATTGTTTTTATGTGCATTGTTGTCGCTAGCAAAGGTATTGATATAAACAGCCTAAAGCTAGAACAGGTTGTTATGTTAGGCCGGCACAATGTGCGCACGCCTTTAACTGAAGGCTTAGAGATGTACTCATCGAAACCATGGCCGAAATGGAACAGCACAGCTGGAGTATTGACCGAAAAAGGACTACGTTTTGAAGGATATATAGCCGATTATATTTCCCAGTGGCTTGACAGTGAAGATTTTTTTGAAGGGTGCCCACAAAAAGATGACGTGCTAATCTACGCGAACACGAAATCCAGGACCTTGGAATCAGCGAGGGCGTTCGCTGAATCAGCGTTTTATAATTGTAATATCAGTGTGCAACATTACGCAAATTTAAGCCAGTTTGACCCACTCTTCCTACCAGTATTCCACAATAAAACGGAAGCGTTTAAGAAGCAGATAGCTGAAGAAATGAAGAGACATCTATCAGAAATGAACCTGACCGAGTCCTACGCCGAACTGGGGAGGATATTAAACATTGAGGAAGCAGATATATGTAAAAAACTGTTCTTGTGTGATCTAAATAGTCAACAGACTGAAATAGTCCTCGAAGAAGGTGAAGAACCCAATGTAAATGGACCACTATACATAGCGAATGCGGTGGTGGACGCGTTCATTATGAGCTATTATGAAGGAAGACCAATGACCGAAGTAGCATGGGGCCAGATCGAGACAGATCGACAATGGGACTTACTAGCAAAAATCATCACTGAAAATCAGAACATAAGGTTTAAATTAGAAAGTGGCGCAAAAGACATAGCAAGTCCACTCCTAAGGTATATGTTTAATATCTTCAACGATGGAAAGCCAAAATTCGCTCTCCTCGTAGGACACGATTCCAATTTGAATTCCGTGTTGACTGCGTTAGAATTTAAGCCGTTTGAAAGGAAACTTCAATTTGAACCTTACCCAATTGGTGGGAAGATTGTTTTTCAAAAGTACAGCGATAAGATGGGCCAGTATTTGAAGGTTGAGTACATATATCCTACTACCAAACAGTTGAGGGGTGGTGACGAACTGTCGTCAAATAATGAACCACAGCGAATTATATTGGAATTAAAAGGGTGTCCTATATCGCCTACTGGATATTGTCCATGGAGTGAGTTTTTGAAATTAAATGAAATATTAGATTAACAAAATTAATGTGTTTTTATTTTTCTCTTTGATCTTTTATACTATTATAGCAACAAAACTTACGGCCCATCTGGTGGTAAGCGTACACCGTAGCCTCAACACTTACAACAACATCAGTGGTATGACAAGTGCGTTGTGTGTGAATCATATAAAATATTATTCAATTGCACTATGAAGGCAAGATGCCACGTACTATAGAAAGGCAATATTATTATTTTGCTGGGTTAGTGGTACTGGCCGCTGGTACAAGCGTGACTGTCGATTAAAGGGTTCTCGGGTTCGATTCAAAGTTAATGGGTTTTAATTGTTTTGTGAGGTTTACGGTATTTGCGGTGCCTTATCTATCTATTATAAAACTATCGATTTCTGACTACCCCTTTAGGGATGGAAGGAGGTAAAGCTTTACAGCACGAGGTATTATATAGATTTACATTTTTAAGTGGAATACATTCGAATTTCCTTGCTACTGTCCACAGAAAGTTCTTCAAAGCACCGAACAATCTTGATTTTTATTGCACTCAGTGAAATACACTGCAAACGTGTGGTCGTGGTGTAACTCCGGTTTCCGGTTCAACCAGCCTATTCGTGCCAAAGCATGGGCTCTTTCACGTGAATCAATTTAGGTCCTTAATTATGACTCTGTACTCAGAATCACGTGTTTCTATTATTTATGATGCCTGCCAATGCCAACATTTATAATCATAACTCGTGCATTTTATAACTAAGATAAACTATTGACCCGAAGATTAGATTCTTGTTAAATACAAAAATAAACTTTACGACCTTGATTTGAACTGAGAATGTTAAAAAGTTTGTCTTATAATTAAGTATGTAATTAGAAGTCCTCTACATTGATTTGATTATTGCGGTCAATCTCCACTAGACTGGCTACGCAGGAGATATTGCAGTGCATAAGTATGTGCATACACTCACACTCTCTGTTCACTCACTCTCATGATGTTATGAGATGGTCAACTGACTGGAGAGAGCTCAACTGGGTTATTCTGTAAGCTTTAATTTAATTCGAAAGATCGAAGTAAAGTCGATTGCAGTCCGTCATGTCATTAATTGTCTCGACCAATGTGAGAAAGCGATCTAGTTCACTTTGAAACTCCGAATCGACAGTTACAGTATAGCGTAGCAGATCTGAATCTGCAATTAAACAGCGTTGGTGGGTATTCCTCTTTCAGTTACTTAGCTGCTTCAGGTAAGTCATTTCATGCGCAACCCATTACCACCGTGCGCGGGGACCCCTTATGACGCCAGTGGGCCTCGTGGTCTTTAGCTAGTTGATGACCGACGACCTCTCCGGCAACGGCGTGTTGGTGGTGGTGTCGTGGGCGGGGAGAAGTACCTACTGGAACTTGACGTGCTAGAGACCGTAAGTGGCACCACTGCATCTGGGACTGGTACCGTCGGTGGCGGGTCGGAGCTGAGTGATAGTAGTAGTTCGGTGATAGTAGGCCTGCCTGTGCCACATAGATCACGCTGCAGCGCTGTTTTATAAACCTGCTTCTTAAAACTCCCATCTTGAACTGTGATTATGACACAACATGACGTAACATGACGCCTTTCATTACGAAGAGGTGGGAAGAGGTGCACATTACGGCACTTAATGCCACTGTACAATGTGACACCCACTTTTCACTATTTATGTTACGAGTCCTATGCAATAGGCGGTGAGCCTATTGTCATATACCGGGCACATTTCCAAACTCTGGACTACTACTGAGAATTTTTTAAAACCCAGTAGTATGTACTTTATTTGACCCGGGAATCGAGTCCCCGAGACCCCTTGCTCGGTAGTCGCGGTTTCTCGGTTATAAAAAAAAATCTTTTAAATCTTTTCGAGCATTAAACTTCAGATTATTATTTGCAGTCATTCGACTAACGATGCATACATATATAATATAAGACAAGTGATTACATAGTACCTAAGTCCTTAGTTTCGAAATGCAGGTATAATATTAAGTAGATTAATACCTAATTTGGAATTTCTTAGCTTATTCCAAGCTGATACTTAAAACGTTAAACGCACTAAAACTGTAATTCAGTCAGACTGCACGGTTGGCGAGGTGGTTGGCATCTGGCTGCCGCGCAACGTGTCGCGGGTTCGATTCCCGCACGGAACAACTCTTTGTGTGTCCACATATTTTTGTTCCGTGTCTTGGTATCATGTGTATGTGAACTTGTATGTTTGTAACCGCACCCATGACACAGGAGAAAATACTTGTGTCGGGCACGTTTTTAAAAAAATAAAAAAATCCTTATCTATATCAATCTAAATAGACAGGGAAACCACCTAAGGCTCTGATTCCCAAGAACAAAACCACCCTGCAAGGATGGAAATTCATTAAATCGAGGCCAAAAGGCATGTCCGACTTTTACTGACTACAACCTTCACTGTTCCCTAAACAGGGTCATTAATGGTAGTTACTCACTAAAAAAAAGTAGGTACGATTTAAAAAACATAAATATAACGCTATAGATCTACCGTGAAGTAGTGCTTAAGCTGGTGGGTATTCTGTTAGTGCATAGTACTGCAGTATTTACCTCATCGAGTTGGCTCATTCATTTTGTACACAAATACAATAGTCAGACTTTAATAATTATCTTATCTTTCCTACACAATTTGATGTTAAAATTATTGAATAAGACTTACAGCGCCATCTAGAAAATATATCCAGAACTTGTTGGAGCATTTATTGTGATCCAGTTTTTAACCACATAATTTTATTATGTCTACTTTACTTCAGAATAAATTTTAGACATAAATACAGTATACGACCATACGAGAGGAAAATACAATTAAACAATAATATTTTCACACGAATAATATCTTCAAAGCTTTATTTTTAAACGCTTTCAAATTGTTAATGTCAATTTGAAGTTGACATATTGTGTGATTGTGTCAACTCAGCTGAGTTGATTTTGTTTCTGTTTCACAGAATCAGAATGTTAATAATATTATTATTTTTCTAAAGCAAACATTAGTTTGCTTTTGATAAACAATGAATCACATTCGCCGACAACTTCTTCCATACATTGGTATGTATAGATATCGCTATCATTTTATTATATTTAGTTATAAAAAACATAGCCTTAAAGTGACTATGTAAATCATGTTTACAAGTACAATGAGATAGTAGGTGTAGATTACATAATTTACTTTCGCTTTGTGTTAAATATATTATCATGTGACGCACAGTCACAAAAATATGTCTTTATTTAGTATTAATTCGCACCAGTGATGTTTAAATAAGACCAAAAAGTTTGTAATACAGTGAAAAATGTTTATAAAAATTCTATTAGTGTCTATGCTAGTGTTAGAAGGTTATTGTGAAAGGAGGTTTAAACTGGAACAAGTATTGATATTGAGCAGGCATAATGTTCGAACTCCTTTGTCTAAAAACCTGTTTGAATTTACTCCGAAGAAATGGCCGAAGTGGAAGGAGAAAAGTGGTTATTTAACAGCTAAGGGAGCCTTATTAGAAGGATATATGGGTGAATATTTCGCTTCTTGGCTGCAAAAAGAAGAATTGTTGAACAAAGACTGCCCAAGTGATGATTCGTTTTTTGTTTACGCAAATACTGCTCAACGGACTTTAGCATCTGCAGAAGCATTCATCTCTAAAGGCTTCCCTGACTGTAATATAACTATACACCACACATCGGAAAACAAAGATCCTATATTTAATCCAGTAATACATAATAATTCGGCCATGTTTAAACTAGAGGCATCTGAACAAATGAAAGCACTACTCAAATCGTTAAACCTGAATACTTCATATGAGGATTTAGAAGATATACTTGATTATAAGCAATCCAATTATTGTATGAACGAGAAAAAGTGTGATTTTACAAAAGACATGAATAAAATCTTTGTTAATGTTGGTTTTAAACCGAATTTGGAAGGTCCGTTAAAAATATCGAAATCGGTCATAGACTCTTTTATCATGGAGAACTATGAAGGGTTACCTAGCAAAGAGGTTGCATGGGGATTATTAAAAAATGAACAACAATGGGACTTAGTTTTAGACCTAAGTAAAGGCTACCATAATGTTATTTTTAACACAAGTTTAGTGGCCAGAGATTTAGCGAGACCCTTATTGAAATACATTAGCCATACTATGTTCGAAAAACAATATAAAATAGCTTTACTTATGGGCCACGATGCTAATATTTACACGGTTCTCAAAAGCCTGGATGTCAAGCCTTTTAGTCTTAAGAACCAGTATGAGATGACCCCTGCGGGTGGGAAGTTAGTTTTTCAAAAATTGTTAGATGAAAATTCGGGTTGTTTTTATTTAAAGTTGGATTATGTTTATCAGTGTACTGATCAAATGAGGGAAGGTAAGAAATTGTCTCTGGATAACCCTCCAGAATTCACCCCTTTGCAGTTGGAGGGTTGCCAGTTAGAAGACAATGGGTTTTGTCTATGGAATGATTTTGTTAACTTGTTGTATGGCTTGGTTGATAATTAATTAATTAATAATAATTTTAAGTTGTAATATGTACGTAAGACATAACTTTTTGGCTTAATCACATTGTTGAATTTTAACTAAAGTAAAACAACAAAATAATGATTTTAAAATGTAATATTAGTTATTAAGTTAACAAAAGTTAACTAAGCTATGTATTCTTAACTTGATGTAACTGTAGTACATTTACAAATTTAGTAATATAATTTTAAGTGATTCATAAATGTCAAGTTACCATTTTGTTTCATACCATAGTAATATTATTACTTAATACTTACTTAGTAATAATTTCATTTTTTTCAGCAGGTGCCATAGTCACCCATAGTTCCCAATTTACTGGTCCACAGCAACCCATCATAGCCCTCCCTTTTTCCCATTATCTGCAATATTTTTAAACTAACTAGGGCCTGCCCTAGGGTGCATTGCCATAGCGCATACAGGGGATAGTCGCCTGGGACAGGCGGCCTGTGATTCCGTGAATTGTATTTTTTTTTTATTATACTTATATATTATAATATCTACACAAATAATACTCAAAAATCTAGTGATATCTTAGTTTTAAGTCATAGACTAGGAATAAGATGACAAATTACATATTTTAATTTTATGTTGTATTTAGTAAATTAGTACACTGCCATATTAATACCATTTTATATGAAACTTTCAAATTATTAAAATTGTTATAATAACAAAAAAAGAATGGTTTTATTTCTTTTTATCGTCGCTGCTTCACTACCTGGTTAGTGGAGTGGTCTTCGAGTGGTCGTTGGTGCAACTGCCGATCAAGGCGTTACGTGTTCGATGTCGATTAGTATTTTTCTAACATTGATTGTGAAACATTGATATTTTTTATGCTATTAGCCGGTAAACGAGCAGACGTAGCACCTGAAACACCAGATGTTTTACAAGTGAGTTATCGGCCTTTTAGGGGGTTAGAAATTGTTTTTATGGAATAGGAGGCTAACGAGCTTACGGATCACCTGATGGTAAGCGATCAGCGCCGCCCCTGGACACTCGCAACACCAGAGGAGTCGATACCAATTTGAGGATGGTTGTGGATTCGAGGATTAGGAAGGTTGAGGAGAGGGGTCCGGTAACTTCACTCGTACGACGAAACAATGCAAGCGTCGTTTCACGTCGGTTTTCTGTGACGCCGTGGTATAGCTCCGGTCGAACCGGCCCCAGAATTCGTGCCGAGGCATGGCTTTCTCACACTTAATACACCTTATTCAATTGAAGTGACGCTAGTTATGTTATTGTCTGATTATAGTGAGTGTCACCAAACTAGGTGATTATTATAACAGAAACGAACCATTAGGTACGACTTTGCCTGACTTTGAAACCTATTCGAAAAAGTCAATAAACTTTAATAAAGGGTAATTTGAAAAAAAAGTTATTAAAGATTTTTTATTACCGTAATAATTAGTTTTTCATGGTCAATTAGTGTTGTTCGGGAGTGCATTACACGTACTTAGGTTTCGTAATGAACTAATGTCCACATGTAAACAGCAGCTCATGTAGTGTAGATGTTCACTCAACAAAGATGTAGCGAGGTTGACTGTCCAGGTGACAAACGTGCCTCTGGCTCTTAGCATGGGTCCTAGTTCCAGGTAGCTGACTATGCAGTGAACGCATAGAGAACAGTAGTTTAGTGGCCACGTATTGCCCTATCTACAGCGAAGCTCACCAGACATGTGGGTCTCCGGTGGACATGGCGTGGTGTGGTAAGCAAGGATGGATATGCAGTAACAAACGCGCACAGTAGGACTCGAAAGAGAAGGGTTGCCGTACCATTAGCCGTCATGCCAGCGGAGATGGGCCCCAGTAGGGCTGATGCCCGACCCGGAGCTGCGGATGACCTAGCCCTTTAGCGTGACTCCGGCTCAAAGCAGGAGTAGGAACGGGATGATTTTTAGTCAGTAAGTGATTGATAGGTACTTCTTTCCGATTATTCCGAACCTGACCCGCAAACCTGACCCGGTGGTGGGTTAGGTTAGGAATTTGAAAAAATAATTGATATTTATTCCGAACGTAACCCTATTCCTAACCTGACCCGACGTATCGTTCCTATCATTACCCGAATTGCGAAGTAGGCAGGTTTTCCTCTCCCCAGTGTATGAAAAGATTTGAAAAGCAGTAAATGATATACCTAGCGCTCGGCGGCCGCTACCGCGGCACCGCTCGCTGCGCTCGCTCGCCTCGCGCCTTGTGAGGGTCGCAGTTCTAACCTAACATAACCAAATGTTTCGGGGTGCCCAAAATGCTACAAAATTTAGATTTATTAAAAGCAATTGTAAGTAATTTAACATTAGTTTAACTGCTTTATAGTTGAAAATAAATAAATTATCAAATATGTATATTAAATGAATATTAGCGAAAATGTTGTTAAAGCAAATTTCAACTTTATGAGTAAAAAAATCAAGTATAAATAAATAATTAAGATCTTTCTGAGCGTTTTATAATGTACTAGCTAGCTAGACTGACTCATCATTTGAAAAGCTAGATTATTTACCTACACGCTTTTATTCTAAATACATAATATGTTTTATTTACTGCACGTTTGGCGTGATGGTTGAGCAACCGGCTGCTGAGCAACGTGTCTCGGGTTCGATTCCCGCACGGAACAAGTTTTTGTGAGTGCAGATTGTTGGTCCGGGTCTGGGTGTCATGTGTAAGTGAACTTGTATGTTTGTAAACACACCCGCAAAACAGGAGGAAATCATAATGTGGGCCAACGTTTCTTATACTAAAAAAAATTAGGTAGGTACCTAGGCAACTATCAGATATTGTAATGTTGAAATATCATAGATTAGGTTTATACAAAGCGAGGAATCTAAGTTGTTATTATAATGCAAGTAATTTGACCCATTGCATTGTTGCAAAATCTATACCTACTGTAATTACCTACGGCTATTATTTTGTCATCAAGTTTATTTCCTATATATAAAAATATTATTATGTATATAAATAAATAGGCATCTACTGGGTAGGTCTGTATAACTGGATCATTTATTTGTTGATTCTGCCTCTGCTGCCTTTGAGACTGCCTTAACCTGAGACATCTTGCCCGAGTCGCACTTACGACCACTCGGCCGAGGCAGTTCATCAGTCATAGGTTCGACTATCCAAATTTTCGCGCGGTTTCCGAAAACGGGACAATTTACCGTCCCGAAGTTCATTTCGAGGACAACGGGACTCCTAATTATAATAAACTAGCGACCCGCCCCGACTTCGCACGGGTGCAATATGCATGTATTATACATACAAACCTTCCTTAAGAATCACTCGTATCTATTAAAAAAACCGCATCAAAATCCGTTGCGTAGTTTTAAAGATCTAAGCATACATACGGACATACAGCGAAAGCGACTTTGTTTTATACTATGTATTGAAGAGTCTCGTTCGAAACGAGACGTCTAGTGACGTTAGGTATGTGTTATTTGTTAGTATTACTAGATAACTATTGTTTTTAAACGGTTTTATTCACCTTCTCAAGTCAAGTCATCGGAATTTCATCCTCTTCCTGACGACAGACCGATCTGATATTTGGTGCACACTCTTAACTCTCTCGTACACCCGTGTGTACGAGAAACACGCGAGAGGTTAAATATTAATGACCATACAAATTAAAACAGTTTAACATAAAAATTAATTATAACTACCTGAGCCCGTGACTTAGTCCGCGTGATACAGTGATTCACAGCTCCTCCCCGTAGTTGATAGCATGATAATATGTAGCCTATATGTTGACTCGACCTTGCTTTATAACTGTCGATCAAGGAATCTCGAGTTCGGCTCCTGAGTCGCGCAAAAGTGTTAATTAGGTTATTCTCGATTTTCAAAATAGGTACTTAGGTAGGTACTTACTGTTCTGTTTTGTTTGCAGTTGTGATCATCATCAATTATTGGCTTATGGCCAATTTTGCCAATATTGGATTTACTTCAAATTTTGAATGAAGATTTCTAACAGGTCTGGTCAACATATAGGCTACATATTATCATGCTATCAACTACGGGGGAGGAGCTGTGAATCACTATTGCCCATAGCACAAACTAATCGGAATTTTCAGGTTCTTTCCGAACAACATTTCCTGGGATATTTTGGCAAAAAGTGTCTGTCTTTTAAAAAAAAAAACGTCGCCCCTATAGTTACTAGGATTTTCTCCTGTGTCGTGGGTGCGTTTACAAACATACAAGTTCACATACACATGACACCCAGACACGGAACAACAATCTGTGGATCACACAAAGAGTTGTTCCGTGTGGGAATCGACCCGGCTACAAGTCGCGCGGCAGTTGCCCAGCCACCGCACTAACCCTGCAGTCAAAGTGTACTGCAGAAGTCTAACTTTAGGAACAAGCAAATAGCTTCACTAGAAAACTGACCTACAGACTGACATTTTTTTCTTATTATTTAATATTAAAATATTTTGTTTTGACGTTCAAAAGTGTCTTACTGGTCTAATTGAAATAAAGTACCCTTAACCGACGAGCATGCATGAAAAGATTGATGACTGTTATTGAAGCGAAAGAGGTATGTAAGAAGCGTAGTAATTGGCGTTCCTTAGTCTCTGCCTACCCCCATGGGAGACAGGCGTGAAGTTATGTATGTATGTATAAATAAATGATTTTAACTTTGACTTTGACTTTGTAGGTATTTATTTAAAATCTACATATAAGAACAAGAATAGAAAAAGCAACCATAAAAATTCTTGAACACTTAAATAATTTGTGGACTTTCACTGTGACAATTACTTACGTGTTTTATTTCTTTACGATCTAAATTAAATGATAAGTAGGTAATCTGTTGTATATCTTTATTTCAGCTGGGTTACTAAGTACCTAAATTGTTTTTTTGTATGAGATAAGAGAGTAAACGAGTAGACGGGTCACCTGATGGTAAGCAATCGGCGTCGCCCATGGAAACAGAAGTTATAATGTGCATTGCCAGCATTTGGGGGACGAGAGGTGCTTGGGTTTCCTGTGTCCTGCATTAAAAAACATCGCGGTGAGTAGAAACCTTCTTATTGAGGAATTTAAGACAGCTGTTCATGTCTCTGGGACG